AAATGTGGAATGCAACCATGTCATGTCATGAAATGAGATGATACTCACTCATGCACTTAAACCCAAGTCATCACCGACTCCCAGGACACCATGCAACGCCAATGTATACTGAATCCATCAATTGACGAAAAAATTCACCAAATGATCGCTTGAAATAAAATTTCTTTTATTATAAAACCAAATCATTGATGGATTTTACTCATTGTATGAGTACTTATAAATCAAAATATTGTGTCTTGTTGGGCAACAAATTTTGGATTTTATACCGTCGGTTCCGTACACCATACTACACTTTTCCAGAATTTCACCACAGGGGAGTGTATAACCAAGTTGTCAGGTCTTGCACCCGAGGGGGAATCTACCCCTTCTTGCTATACCCGACACAAGTTTTGCTTTCATGTAACCATGCGACTCATTCAGATTTTCAACCCAACTTTCCCGAGTCCACCCATCAATCACCAAGAATGGTGTTTGATTAACCATGTATACACACATACCCACACTCATGACTCATGCCCGACAGTGTGATGCCAACATACATATGTAATGAACTGAACCATTGCACTACCAATGTCATGCTGCACACGTAATAAGTGTCATATGGATCAATTTAACCATACATTTCAACATAACCCATCATCCACCAAGTAAGGTGTTTGATTGACCATGCACACACACCGACACCCATGCCTCATGCCCATGAATGTGATGCCTCCGTGCATATGCAATGTAAAGTATCATTGCAACAATATCCACATGCTCCACACGTAATAAGTGTCATATGGATCAATTTAACCATACATTTCAACATAACCCATCATCCACCAAGTAAGGTGTTTGATTGACCATGCACACACACCGACACCCATGCCTCATGCCCATGAATGTGATGTCTCCGTGCATATGCAATGTAAAGTATCATTGCAACAATATCCACATGTTCAATATGTAATGAATGCTATATGAACAAACTCAACATAAATCAACATGTCCGTGGTAAATTATATTACGAGCATATAAATACCATAATTTATCACAATGTCAGNTACCCAAAACACAACCTGTACAATTATATTACAATTGACCACACCGGGTCTATTTATCCATCATAAAATAATTTTTCATTCATCATATGTCATATCCACACANTAAAATTTCTTTTATTATAAAACCAAATCATTGATGGATTTTACTCATTGTATGAGTACTTATAAATCAAAATATTGTGTCTTGTTGGGCAACAAATTTTGGATTTTATACCGTCGGTTCCGTACACCATACTACACTTTTCCAGAATTTCACCACAGGGGAGTGTATAACCAAGTTGTCAGGTCTTGCACCCGAGGGGGAATCTACCCCTTCTTGCTATACCCGACACAAGTTTTGCTTTCATGTAACCATGCGACTCATTCAGATTTTCAACCCAACTTTCCCGAGTCCACCCATCAATCACCAAGAATGGTGTTTGATTAACCATGTATACACACATACCCACACTCATGACTCATGCCCGACAGTGTGATGCCAACATACATATGTAATGAACTGAACCATTGCACTACCAATGTCATGCTCCACATGTAATGAGTGTCATATGGATCAATTTAACCATACATTTCAACATAACCCATCATCCACCAAGTATGGTGTTTGATTAACCATGCACACACACCCACACCCATGCCTCATGCCCATGAATGTGATGCCTCCGTGCATATGCAATGTAAAGTATCATTGCAACACTATCCACATGTTCAATATGTAATGAATGTCATATGAACAAACTCAACATAAATCAACATGTCCATGGTAAATTATATTACGAGCATATAAATACCATAATTTATCACAATGTCAATATATCACAAGCATGTATATATCAACATTTCATAACAAGCATGTTATTGCACAATTTATGTCCAAAACACACTTTACTCACAAGAGCACACTCTAAACACACAGCATGCCCACACAATACAAAATTTCAAGAAGTTTCACAAGGAACTTCCACATATCAAATTCAAGGTAGAACTTGAATTAAACCATTTGTACACCCATTTCTTCATGTCCATAACAATAGACAAGTTTTCATCCAACACAATATCCAAGCATGCTATACATAGTCCATGCAAAATCACCTAGGCATTTAATCAAACACCTTCAAGGCACCACTCATGTAAACACATAATACACTCAAATTCATCATATAACTCAAAAAAAAATCATAAGAAATAATTTCCACATGCCCAATTATCAAAACTTCCAAGAAATCACAAACTAGTAATTTCTAATTACCAATTCACACTAGAATTGAGCCTACCTATTTCCATTAAACCAACTATAATAGGTAACTGTTAAAAATANTCATGCCCATGAATGTGATGCCTCCGTGCATATGCAATGTAAAGTATCATTGCAACAATATCCACATGCTCCACACGTAATAAGTGTCATATGGATCAATTTAACCATACATTTCAACATAACCCATCATCCACCAAGTAAGGTGTTTGATTGACCATGCACACACACCGACACCCATGCCTCATGCCCATGAATGTGATGTCTCCGTGCATATGCAATGTAAAGTATCATTGCAACACTATCCACATGTTCAATATGTAATGAATGTCATATGAACAAACTCAACATAAATCAACATGTCCATGGTAAATTATATTACGAGCATATAAATACCATAATTTATCACAATGTCAATATATCACAAGCATGTATATATCAACATTTCATAACAAGCATGTTATTGCACAATTTATGTCCAAAACACACTTTACTCACAAGAGCACACTCTAAACACATAGCATGCCCACACAATACCAAATTTCAAGAAGTTTCACAAGGAACTTCCACATATCAAATTCAAGGTAGAACTTGAATTAAACCATTTCTACACCCATTTCTTCATGTCCATAACAATAGACAAGTTTTCATCCAACACAATATCCAAGCATGCTATACATAGTCCATGCAAAACATACTTAATTTTCACCTAGGCATTTAATCAAACACCTTCAAGGCACCACTCATGTAAACACATAATACACTCAAATTCATCATATAACTCAAAAAAAAATCAGAATAAATAATTTCCACATGCCCAATTATCAAAACTTTCAAGAAATCACAAACTAGTAATTTCTAATTACCAATTCACACTAGAATTGAGCCTACCTATTTCCATTAAACCAACTATAATAGGTAACTGTTAAAAATACCAAAAACAGCCCACATAAATCCTATGGAGACCTTAGGTTAGAAATAAACCAAAGTAGGAGGGAACCATATCTCTTGTAGCGTGTAGGAATTGGTAGAACTTCTAAAAACGTCAAAACAAGCCCAAGAACCTTTGATTCCTCCAAAGTCTTTTCCTTGGACCTTTGGTGAAATCCACTTTTCTTGGTACGTACACGTAGCTCTCGTTGAGAAGATGAACTTTGATTCTTGGTTCAACGAATTCCAACTGACGGAACTCCGGGAATCTTGGATTGAAACTTGAAGATCTTTGTTTTCTTCTCTTTTGCACCCTCTCAACCCAACGTTCAGACCAGCAGAGAAAATCAGTGAAGAAATCAGATTTTTCCACCTATTTATAGTCCCAAAACCCTTGGCTCACAATGCGCCACACGGCTCCTATTTTCGGGTCCATTTTCACTCCGAAATGATTAAATTTTGTACCAGTTTAAGCTCAAAATATTTTATATGAACTTTATTTAAAATATTTTCTAAATTTTAAAATTTTTATAATAATTTTATTTTTGGGGGTCACCAGACAACCGTCACCTCGAAAAACGTAAAAAATTTAACTATCTCAGAATTCAACGAAATTTGTCTAGATAACTAGATTTCGAGAGACGAATCCAACGGTGAGGTCCGTTTTATCATTCGAGGTCCAGAACATGAGTATTTTAAATACGTATTAGGATGGCAAATTACCATTGCCCTTTCTAAGAAAAAGTTCAAATTTTTCCGGGTTTCACAGAGGGAGCAGTGGCTGGGGGAATAGGGATCTCTGGGATGGGCCTCTCACGGAAAGTGTGCACGAACATCTCTCTAAGCATGGCAGTCACCCCCTACATTGAAGCCTCAACCCCATGCATAGTTGCTTATAGTGCATCCAGATGCTGATGGGTTGTGCGTGCTGGTGCAGCCGTGGATGGCCTTGGAGACTCTACATCAGATTCTTGCAGCCTAGCTCGCACTCCTTTGCCCATTGCTTTTCTCTTTTTGTTGCTGGTCTTTGTGATAGCTCCTGTCTCTCGAGGGGCGATCTTATAGAATGCATAGCCTTTAACTTTGAAGTGGTCGCACATTCGGGTTACCAAGTTCCCGTGCGACAAGTAAGTCAATGGCTTTGTTGTCAAAGCGAGGTCTTTCATCACTTCCCAAATGACGAGTGCAAAATCAATTCTTTTTCCCTACACAAAAGCATCCAGCAGGGCCAACTTTTCCATATTTGGCTTTTTTTCTAAAGCTCTTGGGAGTAGATTGTAGTGACGGAGTTTGTTCAGGAGGCTGTACACATGTTTTAACCCACCACTCTGGAAAAGTCCCTTGAATGTGGTGGGATCCTCATACATTAGGGCCACCAACTCCTCTTGAGTCTTAGCTTTGGCAATGTTGTGTGGGTAAACAGGTGGGAAGGGTGGTGCTCGCTGGTATCCTCTCAGAAGAGTGGCAATGACGTCGGGAGTCACGTCGAATTTCTTGCCACGCACATTGGTTCTCAATACTTCCCCCCATCCACCTCAACCACCCTAAGCATTTGATAAAATTCTCTACACAGTGATAGATTATAACCCTCAACCGGCTTGAACAAGAAATTCATACCACGATTCTCAACAATTTTCACGGCTTCATGTCTAGGGGTGAGTGAAATGTAGTCAAGATGACGCTCGTAGGTAACACCTCTCCCTTGAATCCACTAGCTTCGAGCTTCATTCCTAGCCTTTTTCCTTTGTGGATTTGGGTCCATTCTAGACCTTTCTCCAGTCCTTTTAGGGCTAGTGGAATCATCGGGTGGAGGAGAACTGGGCCCAAGGCCAGGCCTTTTTGTTCGGGCCATGTAGAGCAACAGTGCCCCTATTGAGAATAATGGGAAGAAGGCAAGGAGATGACCCTCAATAGGGTCAAAGGCCTCAACACAAAACCCTAGATGACGGGCCATTGGAGTTCGTGTAAGAGAATGGTGAACTTTGGGGGAAATGGGGCAATTCGGCGCCTAAGGTTCACAGGCATGGATGTCACAAGATTTAAGCTTAAAAAGAAGGATGGATTAGTGGATTGGAAAAGTGAAGAATGGATTTGGGGCCTTTGGACATTTTCAAGTGAGAGAGAGAGAGAGAGAGAGAGAGAGAGAGAGAGCTAGGGTTGAAAATATAACTGCAGAATGAAGGGTTCAGTAAACGATTTAAATTAAAAAAAAAACTAATTTTTTCGTTTCAGCAGACTGTACCAGTACGCTGGACTCCAGGGGATGGACTGTACCAGTACGCTTATGCTTTGTTTTCCCAAAACACTCTTGTTGAGCACACCACTCCACTTCAATCCCACTTAGAGCCTCCCTAGACGTTCTACCCCATTACTTATGACTTCTACTTCATCCTAAAAAAATTGTACTTCACTTAAAAACCACAATCTGAACCATCATGCCCAACTTGTTACAAAAAATTTCACAGTGATTTAAACCTTTTGATGCAAGCAACATTCAAGAAATGGATTTATATTCTTATCAAAATGAACACAAAAAATGCACATCACACAATCTAAAACATGGGCATTCCTAATTCATCTTAAATATCAAAAACTTGAACACTATTCCCCCATTCTGCAGGTATGGAACTAATTGACACATTTCTCAGATGATTGAACTAAGTGTACATGAGCAATTCCATAGCCTTAGACACTAGTCTAAAGTATGCACCTACAAATTAATTTTCAACTCATGTGTGTGTGAATTAAACAACTAATTTGAGCATTTATGCAACAGAATTCAAATTTGAATAGCTAGACAAATTCAGTTTCAATGCAAAACTCATCAAAGGTCACTCTTAAGCAATGAAATACACTAAAGTTATCCAGGTATGCACTCCATGTGTACATGTGAGATATAATCTTTTGTTCAAAACAAAGTGTGCTTACATGTAATCCAAAAATGAAGTTCATATATGAAATTGAAGCGACCTTCGCATAGTCTCATGAACAGAATGCTAGGGCATGAGGTAGTAAGACTAAACTCATCAATGCTCCTGAAATTGTGCACCTCCCATGCTTACCGAGATCACTTAGGACTTTAAGGGCTGTAATGGGGCCTTGGGGTGATATTTAGGTAGATGAAATGAAGGATACAAGATAGCAAAGAGGTTTGTTCCGAGTGAGAGACTTTTATTTTAGAAAAAACACTTCCCTTTTCATGGGATTATAATTCTCACACCAGCACCACACCCTTTGTTTCTTTTCTTTCTTTTCCTTCACATTTCCTTTTTCTTTTGATCATCCTTTCTTCTTTCCACCCTTTTTCTTCCTTTTCTTGGGTTTCTCATTAATATATTTTTTTTCAGTTTCAATAACAATCATCCCTTGCTTAAATTTCCAACCCACACTTCCTTCTTTTGCGATCAATCATTTCCACTTTAGGAACAATCAAGGTAAGGTAGGTATTTCTTAATATCTTTGGCTTGGTCAAATGCATGGTACAGAAACAAATTTCAATCAGGCTCAATCACGACACTAGGGATAAAATTTACACAAGAAAAAGGGCAAAGGCTCAAAATATTCATGGATGGCCTAAGATCACTTCTAGGTTCGCATGGGAGGGCATTATATAATCAAGACAAGTCAACCTACTATCCCAAATGCACCTAACCAAAACAAGCAAATAATGAGACTATTGAAAAAATTTGACATTGAAAAATTGTTCTTTGAGTAATTGTAAGTTCTCTCCAAAAAGGATTTGGCATTAAAGCTTCCATAGGTCCTTATTCATCTCCACTACTTATGTCAAGCCTAAAACATGAATCCAGTCCATAAATTTCTGAAATTACACATTCGATAGTCACATACAGTTGAGTTCAAAGATCAATACATATGTGATACACATGCATAGGATCAACTTCCATAGAATGCTCAAAAGCACAAAGTTCACAACACAAATCAACATGTCAATCAGCCCACACACTCTTCATGAAGGAATACAGGTCAACAATTAGATATTTTTCATCAAAATTTCAAAAATTTCCCATATTTTTCACTAATGCAAGCAAAAATCTATATCACAAGAATTTCACACCAATTTCCTAACAACCTTGGTGTATTATGCAAATGGTGCACCTCACCCCCCAACTTGAATCATGCATTGTCCTCAATGTAACAAAAGGATATAATATGCAATGAAGGACAACAAAAAAATGAATAGGGTTAGAGAACATCTTGCAATTGAGCTTCAACAAAAGCACCAAGATCTGAAACTAAGAAAACAATGCTATACAACCAATGAAAGTAAGTGACATAAAGTAGAAATAACATAAGTAAACAAAAGTAATTGTACACTAGAAATCATAAACACTAGCTAGTTCTCCATCAAATCCGGATATATGGGATCTGTCAAATCTTCCGCCAGTTCTTCCCCTGCAAAACCCTTGAAGAATGGCTTGAGCCTTTGGCCATTGACCTTGAATGTTTGGCCATCTTCGAGGTTTTTCACATCCACAGCTCCATTAGGGTAGGCCACCTTGACCAGATAGGAGCCATTCCAATGGGATCGGAGCTTTCCTTGAAAAATTGAGAGGCGAGAATTGTATAAGAGCACTTTTGACCCAGCCAAAATGATTTATGTACAATGGAATAATTGTGAAAGATCTTTAGCCCGTTCCTTTGAGATTTTGGAGCTCTCATACGCATCTCATCGAATCTCTTCCAACTCATTCATTTCCAACTTCCTATGTTCACCGGCCATTCGCAAATTGAAATTTAAAGTTTTAATGGCCCAATAAGCCTTATGTTCCATTTTGACTGGCAAGTGGCAAGACTTTCCATAGACAATTCGGTAGGGAGACATGCCCAAAATAGTCTTATAGGCAGTACAGTACGCCCATAGGACATCGGTCAATCTATCAGACCAATCCTTCCTATTGGGGTTAACCATTTTTTCTAGAATTCCCTTTATCTCCTTGTTGGCTAGCTCGGCTTGGCCATTTGTTTGTAGGTGATAGGCGGTGGATCTTTGTGAGTGACGCCATATTTGCACATGAATGAAGCGAATGACCTATTACAAAAGTGTGATCCACCATCACTTATTATTGCACGAGGTATCCCAAACCTCGAAAAGATGTTCTCCTTAAGGAATTTGACTACGAGCTAGTGATCATTAGTCTTGGTCGGGATCGCCTCCACCTATTTGGACACATAGTCCACTGCCAAGAGGATGTTCACATAACCATATGACATAGGGAATGAACCCTTGACGATGCCCCAACAGTCAAATATTTCTATGACAAGCATAGGGGAGAAGGGCATCATGTGTCTTCGGGTCACACTACCCAATCGTTGGCATCTGTCGCATGCCTTACAAAATGAAACACAATCTTTAATGAGAGAAGGGCATTAGAAACCTGATTGGAGAATTTTAGTTGAAGTCTTTGTAGCTAAAAAATGTCCACCACAAGCTTGTGAATGGAAAAATGCAAGGACGTCCCATTGTTCAATTTCATGTATGCATCTCCTCATGATTTGATCGGGGGTAGTACTAACAAATACGGGTTGTCAAAGTAGAAGTACTTCACATCCGCCATATATCGTCTTCGATCTTCTGGGCTCCATTGCTGTAGAATCTGTCCAATTACAAGGTAATTGCATATATCAGCATACCAAGGACACACATAATGAATTGGAAACAAGTGTTTGTCAGGAAAAAGGTCAGGGATATAGGGATGTGCTCATCGGCCTCTTGCACCACCAGCTGGGATAAGTGATCCACCACCACGTTCTCAACTCCTTTCTTGTCCTTGGTCGTCAAGTAAAATTATTGTAGGAGGAGTATCCACCAAATGAGTCTTTGTTTTACATCCTGCTTAGACAACAAGTACTTCAAGGCAGAATGGTCAGTAAAGACAACAATAGGCGAACCATTGATGTACGAACGAAATTTATCTAAAACAAACACTACAGCAAGCAATTTTTTCTCGGTGGTAGTGTAATTCATTTGAGCCTCATTCAGGGTTTGGCTAGCATAGTGTATCACACACGGTCTATTTCCCTCCCGTTGACCAAGTACTGCACCGACCGTATAATCACTCATGTCGCAGATGAGTTCGAAGGGTAGGTCCCAATTGGGTGGTCGCATGATTGGAGGTGTAACTAACATGCTCTTAATTTTTTTAAATGATGCCTCACAGTTATCCGACCACTCAAAGGGGGTCTCCTTAGATAGGGGTTTGGTCAAGGGACGAGCCAATGCACTAAAATTTTTGATGAATAGACGATAAAAACCTACATGGCCCAAAAATGACTGGATGCCTTTGATGGTTTTTGGCATAGGGAGATTGGAGATGACCAAGCACAATCCCCTCTGTCACCATAAGGTGACACTTTCCCAATTCAACACTAGATTCTTCTCCTTACATCTCATTAGAACTTTCTCTAAGTTTTTCAAACATCCGTCAAATGAATCCCCAAACACTGAAAAGTCATCCTTGAAGACCTCCACTATCTTTTCTATCGTATCACTACAAATCCTCATCATGCACCGTTGAAAAGTCCCCGAAGCATTGCATAATCTGAACGGCATGTGACGGTAGCCAAAGGTGCCATAGGGGCAGGTGTAGGTGGTATTCTCTTGATCCTCCAATGCGATCTCTATTTAGCCGGAGTACCCATCTAGAAAGTAATAGAAGAGGTGCCCATCTACTCTTTCCAAAAGTTGATCAAGAAATGGCATAGGAAAATGATCCTTCCTTATGTATGCATTAAGCTTCCGGTAGTCGATGCAAACCCTCCATCTGGTGATCACTCTCATCGGTATGAGTTCATTCTCATCATTTTCCACCACCGTGACTCCGGATTTCTTTGGTACTACTTGTGTGGGACTAACCCATTTGCTATCTACAATAGGAAAGACGATGCCCACATCAAGTAGTTTCAATACCTCCTCCTTCACCACCTCCTTCATATTGGGGTTCAATCTCCTTTGAGGTTGTCGAGAGGGTTCGGCATCCTCCTCAAGGT